GTGCTCTTTGGAAATCTTCAAATCAAAGTGACAAATGCCAGAAAGGAAGAAAGTAAGTCCTCGAGATACTGAATGCCTAGACTTAGATGGCACAGCTGGGCAGTATCCCAGTAAATCTGGCGTCCAGATCACACTTCTACCTCAAGCCCTTCTCACCAACACCAAGAGGCCTTGCTTCACTTGAATATGAGGCCACAGCCACTTATCCAGAGACAAAAGAGGACAATGTTCAAGAGAGTTCATAGGTTCAAGAATTTGAGTTAAGGCCTTGGGAATGACTTTAGATAATACTTCTAGAACTCCTAGGGGCTCAGAGCATTCCGTTCTTCTCTGTGTTCTCTGTCAGAGCCCATAGTCTGGACAAAGAGTTGAGAGAGAGAGAGTTTATATAATATTCTGAGAAAGAGTGAGTATATGCAGGCTGTTCTACAGGGAAAGGAAACAGTTTGGTACCCAAAAAGGAAGTCAGATACAGAAACACTGTCCAATGAGAAGAGGAATCACAGACCAAAAGCACATAATGAACAGACAGCCGCTCCGAAATACCTGCTATGAAATGGCCTCTCAGCCTTTGCTCCAACTCAGCCAGCAATACAAGGCTGCGTAGATGGTAGGAAACCAGCTTGCTTAATGGAATCAGCTAGAACCTGTTTCCTTGAATGGAATGAAACCTACTTCCCTAGTAACTTCTGCTCCTTGATAAAAAAATTCTACTCCAGCATACCTGATACTTGTAGTTTTCCTTTCTGATATTTGCAAACAGCTCTCAAATCAGCTCAAAGTTTCTGTCCCATAAGTGAAGCATCTACCTTTGATCCTCTCAATTCTATCAGTTGCCCACACACTGGCAGCTCTCAGCCGAGGTCGACTAAGCAAATGACCCAGTTCCTGAACCCTTACCCCCGGAGTCCCAAGGATTACTCTTCATGCAGGGGCCAGGGTGGCCCTGAGACTGAGGGACCATGGCGAAGCACCAGTGTTCTTACCAGGTCTGACACGGTCAGGCAAAGGGGACACCTGAGCACGCCATTCTGCTCACAAAACAGCAATTTGCTGGCCAGAAGGAAAAAGAATGTTTCCCAGCAGGCCGAACGCCCTAACATTAGCGCTGGCTGTGGCCCATCCTAGGAAGCCATGCTCTCAAGAGGGCAGCTTGGTGCAGCTGAGGCAAACCTTTATGAAGCTGACTGCTCCCAACATCTGAGCAAACAAAGCATTTCTTTAAGGGAAATCTGGACAGGAGTTCTTTCATTTCTCCTACTGGGTGAATAATTTATTATATTTCAAGTTATACTGAGAATAACAACAATGGAATAATTACCATTTTAAAGCCTGTTCTGGGAGAAAGTCTTCACCTGTGTTAAATGATTTAATTCTTGTAATCACCGATGACTGATCCTTTAATCATTTCTCACTCACTAGAAATGAAATAGCTTTTGCACTTTTAGAAATGGTGCAATCGAACATGAGTTGATTTACTTGGGCTGGGAGAATAGTTCCTTTTTGATAAACATGATTGATTATCTCTGCAACTAGGTAACTTTCCCCAGGTCATGCACCTAGCAAATAATATCATCTGTCAGTACTGTCTTTGCAGGAGACAAGCCAAATGGGGTTGTATGTGCCAATGTAGGGACAAGAGAGTCATTTAGGCTGGAGAATAGAAGATTTGGGGTGGGGGGAGAGCAGAGGCTAAGTCTAAACGCTTACGAGAGGGTGCAAGAATGGCTTACAGGGTGCTGGGAGCTGAAGCAGGGATGGCGAGCAGAGGTTACAGGAGGCAGATCGCACCTACAGCAAGTCACACAGTCCCATGGAGCAGGTCTTCCCCAGTGGGCAGCACCCTGAGAAGCGACTGCCCCCGCTCCTAGGGGCGGCACAGCAGAGACTGGAGGTCCTGACTCAGGAACCCTCCAGGGCTTTCTTCCCAGGATCTGAGAGGGCTGAATGATTCTCTAAGCACCATGCCCAGTGCAGGACCTGGTTCTTTCCCACATGGGCCACACTCGCATCTACTCGTGGATCCCTCAGGAGATCTCAGAGATCCTTCCTTGTGCAAGAATGGGGCATGAAAGAATCATTCAGGAGTTTAGTGACAACATAAGTTTTTATTTTGTTCCATATAGATTTTGGCAGATCAAGGTGGAACGCTGCCTATGAGAAAGCACTATGAGAGAGATTCTTTGAAATAATACAAAGGTAAGCATTTTTTCCTCAGTTAGTGATAACACCTTGCCGTAACCCACATGAAAGCCAATATGAGCAAAAGCTTTGTTTGATCAGATCTAATTTTTCTGTTTAGACACTCATCCGATGACCCCAGTATCATGACGGCGCCTGTGTGAAATCTGAAGAGCAGCCTAATATTGTGCAATTATTAACACCTAAGGTTAGATCAGCTGGGGATATTAATTATAAGCAACAGAAACTGATGATTGTGTAAGCAGAAAAGCGCTCATTAAAAGGCTTTGGTGAAGGCCAGAATTGTAAAATGAGAGAAACTACCATACCCTTGTGCTTCCCCTGGGGATAAATAGAAGTAATTGATATTCTAAGTAGATTTCAATCACCTGGGGGGGGCAAGGTCTTAACCCAGCCTTTCCTGGAAATATCCCTAACCCCCACCCTTGTATCTTGCTATGTGACTTGCTCCCCCCATTTGGCCCCCATTGAATCAATATTGCCTGGGTGACTGTGCTTGTAATCTTATTGGTTGGTCATGGCTCTGTTCCACCTCATGCCCACTGTGTAAATTTCCATTGGGTCTTATAGTCCCCCTTCTGTATCTCTTAGACAGAAGTTTTCTTTTCCTCAATAAATTTTTCCTAATCTTAAAAAAGAAAAGGTTTTGGGTGGGTTATACAACTGTTGGGAGGCCTGGAGAAGCGTGCTTGAGGCTAAGTATTGAGGAATAATGTGTGAAGTCACACCACAGAACTGGCCTAGTAGGGAAGTTACTGCTCCCAGCGCTGCTGTGACAGTGTGACGCCCCATGACAGAAACACACCCTTGCATCCTCAGCCAGAGACTAAAGGGAGGCAACACACTTGCCGGCACCCCAGAAGCACCCTCTCCTAAGGGTTTAAACTTAGTCTCTGCTCTTTCCCACCAAAACCTTCTGTTCTCCAGCCTAAACGACTTCTTGTCCCTACATTTCCACATACAACCCAGTTTGGCTTGCCTCCCTGCCCTCTGCAGAGAGGCCTCCTTCCCACTGCTCTTTTCTCAGGAATAATCCTGGTGGTTAGAGCTTCAGCCGCTGTTTGCACCCAGCCTACTAAAGGGACTGCGAGTCATTTTCTGCATTTATAGGATGCTATAATTTTGACGGCTGAGATGTTGCTACCATGGATAGCAGAGCTAGGAAATTATTAGAATGATGAGAGCTAATATTGAGCTTAAAAATCCCACCCACTAGTTTATCTTCCCCTCTCTTCCACTTACTTTTCTCCCTCTCATGTATGCTAGCTTCATCTTTTCTCCCCTGGACCAACTGTAAGAGCCTCTTAATTGATCCTCTTCAGCTCCCTGTGAGCTATAAGCCTTTCACAACACTGCAGCCAGAATGATCTTCCAAAATTACAAATATAATTGTTACCATGCATGTTTTCCTTCTTTCAATTGTTTCAAACATGTTATGCTTAGAAGAATATCTGACTCATTAACATAGACAATGCGATCTAGTGGTTCGGCTGTCCCCACATGTCCAGCCCCACTCAGCTTCCCTCTCGAAGTTGGTTTGACCTGCCCTGGACTCCGATCCTCCCTTCACCAGGCTCCTTTCCCCACACCCAACTGGCCTCCCAGCATGCTGTTTTCTCAGTCTGAATATCTCCCTGATTGTCTTACATGCACTGTGCTGGGCTCAAGATGTCTGTGATTCTTCCAGACAAGGTCTGTTCTTTCTGCTTTCTGCTCTTTTAAACTTCGCCCCATATCTAGCCATGGTAATTAAATAAACACTGATGTAGCCATGTGTTTGAAGTCTGTTGTCCTTGCTGGGTTTACATTCCATGTGTTTACTCACCCACTACTACACGTCCCACACCTCACAGATCCCGGGCTATTTGAAACCCTCCATAGATGTTGTTGGATAGCTTTTCACCCTCTTGTTCATTTCCCTTCCCCCCTGGAACCCAAGGCTTTCACAAGCAAATCAGAGAAGATGAGATCTGTTAAGGCCAAAGTATCAAATGTTGACTGTGCGACCTTTGCCGCATTGTTTTACCTTCTAGACCTCCGTTCTGCAGTTGGAACGCTTGGACATTATACTTCCTTCTTTCTTGAACTTCCTCTAATACTCCTGTATTATTCACACTTCCACTGCCATCAGAAAGAGATGGTGGGTGATTGAATTGTTCCATCTGTGTGTATCGCACACCTCACTGGTAGACCGGCACTTAGCATGCACAAGAGTCTGGCTTCAGACCCCAAAAGCCAAACCAAAGAAAACAGAATATTTTTTAGCCTCTAGGAACATCCAGTTGACCTAAGCACCACCTACTGTAAAGACCGCTTTTCCCCCACTCTGCTGTTGTCTTTCTCATAAGCCAAGGGTAAATGTGTAAGTCTGTCCTGGAATCTCACTCAGTTTTGTTCCTCTGGCCCAATACTCTGTTGTCTTAGTTACTGCAGCACTGACATCTGCTGGATAAAGTTCTCTAACTTTGCTACATCTGAAGAACCTCCTGGCCATTCTTAGTCATTTGTCTTTCCACATATTTTTTTTAAAATAAGCTTATCAAGGTCTACGAAGGAAATCCTGCAAGAATTTATGTACAGTGATGAAGCTCTAACTTTACAACTGAATTTTAACACTTTTACCAACACTAACAGACTTAGATTCATATACATTGACTCTGTAGGTCAATTTGGGCAGAATAAATATTTCAATAGTGAGTCATCTAAGAATATGTTAAATCTTTATTTTATTTAAATCCTTCTACTTTCTCCCAGTAATGTTCTACGGTACTTAGAGATTTTTCACAGAGTTGTTCATATCTTGGGTATTTTATGATTTTTACAAGCTTTATTGCTTCTAAGTGTTTTTCTGTCTTCTTGATGCTAATATGGAGAAAGGCAATTAATTTTTGTATATAGATCTTCTATCCAATAAATCAAATTTAATCATCTAGTATATCTATAAGTTCTTTGTCTTACTTGTTTACTTGCATCATTCCATTTTCTGCAAATAATGACAATTTTCTAATTCAGTCTTCTGGATTTTTTTCATGGTGTGTAGCTCTAGCCAGAACCTCCTGTAAAATTCTAGATAGAAATGGAGATAATGGGTATCTAATTTCATTCTCAATTACTGGGATAAGTTTTCAAGATCTTACTACTGAGAGTGATGTTCACTCACAAGTTCAAGACCAGCTCTAGCAATTCAATACCTTAAGATCCTAACCCAAAATACAATTTTAAAAATAAAAAATAAAAATAGTTGGGGATGCCTCTAAGTGCAAAGGCCCAGGATCCGACCCCAACATCTACAGAATGATGATGATAATGATGATGATCATAACAATAATTATAATCACGACAACATTCACTATACATGTAAGGAATTTCCTTTTTACTGCTACATGAAATTTCATTTCACTTTAGTGTTATATATGAAAATGCTTAAGTGCACCTTTGGAACAATATGTAAGTACACTGAAGTTGAAATGTCTGTCTGTTATTTCCTAAGGCTACAAGGCTCTCAGGATTTACAAATTCTTCTGCTTTGAAAGTCGTTGTCCTTAGTAGTGCATTATCAAAACCCACTGACATGTATGGCATAGTTATATTTAAATGTAAATTTTCATTGGAAACAAAATGTGAAACAACAAGGGCTATTTCTTTTCTGCTTCTAATTCATCAAACTATATAAAATATGACCTATAGATAGTTTTTATCTCTATACATGTAACTGCTAAGGAATTGTGTTCCCACAGCTGCTTTTTTTTTTTTTTTTTTTTTTTTTTTTTTTTTAGTTTTATTGAGTTTATTGGTACATTTTAGGGATACAGTACAGTTACATTCATTGTTGGGATCATGTACCTCCACATGGCAAGTCTTGATTCTCATTTTTTCCCC